TGGGCCTTTGGCGTGATGAGAGGACACTTAAACCATCCAGACATTGTAAAAAAGTGGGTGTGTTGTTTCAGTGTTGTGTGAGGAGAAGTGCTAACTATTTTCATTAGGGTTGTCAATATTATCTTCTGTGTTTTGAAGTCAAAATACCACCTGCATTGGAATATATAAATGATGTTACAATCATCACAAGTTGTGATCAGAGTTCTAACAGCAGTAGCTGACCCTACTTAGTTCTATTTACTAAATATACACTGCTCCATCTTAGATAGCAAACTTCAAAATTTAAACAATAAGCTGACCCAGAAATCTACACAATTACAGTGTAAAACAAACAAATCACAAAGAAAAGTTATAGTCAACAATTGTATTATAGAATGAAGGTATTTACAAGTCAACATAACTTACTGAAAATTCTCCACCATTCCTAACAACTAATTATTGTTAAAAAACTATCATGAATTTCTACTAAATCTTAATAGAAGAATATGGACCACACAATCCAGTGATCAACATCATGAGCATTGATCTACGCAATTGGGACCCGATGACGTGTTAACAAAGTCAGCAATCCTGACCACCTCATCCTGTTTGCCGCTTCTTACAACAAGCGTGGGTGTTATAAATGTAGTTCATCGTACATATGTATATGTGTGTGTACATAATCCATACTGTACTGTACCATCTTATATTGTAATGGCAATGTTTCGGCATAGATCCCAACACTGTTGTCAAGCCACACTGATGACAGTTATTCACTTTCTGTTTAATATGAAAGTCACTTATGGGGCCTGTGGGGTAGCCTAGTAGTTAAAGCGTTCGCTTGTCACCGGCCGAAGACCCGGTTTGATTCCCCACATGGGCACAATGTGTGAAGCCCACATCTTGTGTCCCCTGCGGTGATATTGCTGGATTGTTGCTAAAAGCGGCATAAAACTTAACTCACTCACTCACAATGGAGATATATTTGTGTTTAGTACTGTATGTGTTTCAATTGTTCTGTAAGGGAATTGTGTTTGGGACTGTGATATGTCACAAGTCTTAAACAGTGAGACATGGAGGTTTAGTGGTTAAGTCCACAGAACATGGCAACTTACTGTGTATTTTGTCATCAATGATATTTTTATTGTTTGATATATTTTTAAACCCAATTAAAAAAGTCAGAAATCAGTATTGTTGGATAGTACATGATAGGGCAAGAGTGTTTCTTTGGCACTAGATTTGTGTCTAGTTATGAAAGGTACACCATAATATCTTAAGTGCATCAACAACCAAAATCAAGTTTAACACAATGGGTTGTGACATTTTGTGATCTTCTCAATTTAATTGGTTGCATTGACAAATTGTTAATATTCAGTCAGCCTTGTTGTTACTCATAATTTTTCAATCTATTTAATGGCAAATGATCATTACGAAAAAATTGCAATTTCTTAATTTATGAATATAGATTAATTGCCACCTCAATCAAATGCGTTTGTTACATAATGCCGAACGTGTGAAAGCGCACCGTTATGTCTTTGACAAGAAATCTTCACGTCAAACAATATAAGAGATGGTTTAGAGGAGTCAACTGTCTGCTAAGACCTAATTTATGATGGACGATAAGAGAGCGAGGAGAAAGCTTTAATCAAGAAAGGTGGGAAGGATAAAAGTGATACTCCCCGACAGAATGGGCCGTGCATTACGCCGGTGAATCATCCCTCAAAGGACGATGTTAAGGGACTACTTTCCTATGACGGGGAGAGGGACGTATTAAGGACTACATTCATATCGCGAAAGGGGTCCATATTAAAGAGCTACATTCATATCGCAAAAGGGTAGCGCATTAAGGGTTCCCATTCAGCAGACTGAGTCAGACTCTGGGATTGAATGAAGGGCTGGTATCCCTAGAATAAAGGACTGTTGGGCCCTGTGTGGAGTCTTGGTTCCTCTGCCATTGATAGGATCACATGCCCAGCCCTTCGAGCTCCTCACACAATGCTATATTGTCTCAAATGTTTGCCTTTCATCACAGCGAGAGACACACTGAATAACATCGTTATTCCCGATTCTCTATCTTTCTCATTTCACTCTGCTCACAAGTTTTAAGCAATTTTGGAAATTTTTCGGTTAATTGTTCATATTTCATCAGGGAGCAATCAGTTTTAGTTGATTGTTGGGCAGGTTAATTTGAAGGTAATTCAAACGTTGTTACTTTTGTCAGTTCAATATCAGAAATCCAAACAGATGTGAAAATGAGCTGAGAAATGGTTAGATTTCAAGTTGTTAGGGCATTAGAAACAAATTGCATAGATGTTTGATATTGCTAATTAAGATTGAATACATATTACATTGTAAAATAAAGAAATAATTAAACAAATTTACCTTTTATAATAGAGTAAGTTGAACGAAGTACAGAGAACCTACCAGTGATTTAAGGGTTGAGTTGACAATTCATTTATCTCAGAATTTGATAACGCTTTCAGTTTATTTTATCTGATACTGCATCTGAAAGAAAGGTTTTGTTTTAGGAGCGTAGATAAAGGTGATATGTCGCATTTTTGTCCTCTCTGAAATAATATTAATTCCAGACACATGATAAGGGGTTTCGGCACGTCTAAGGACAACAATCTCACCCGACATACAAGTGTGGCATACAGTCTCATGACCTTGTTGAAAGTTGCTATTTATCACCCTATGACCACTGCCTGATAGCTAGGTGTTCAGTTTCGCCCGGTGTTGTAAAATACTATCCCAGATGGGCAACACTTGTGACTAATTAAGACTATCAGTTGATAAGAGGTAAAGCATTAACGCAGACAAGAACAATGGTGACTCTGTAGGTTTTCAGGAAAAGATTTCTGCCCATATGTTTTCTTGTTTGAATGGATGTTGTAATTAATTCCAGTTGTGTCTCTTTCGAGTGACATTTGTTCCAGATCCTTGTGTGATGCACTGTATCTGACCTCCAGATCTCCATGATGGGTTCTTGCATTCTGGTTTATAAGGATGACCAATAAAATGGTGTAGATGAATATGGTCTCTGCTGATAAGGTTTTTTAGCAGTATGGTTTTTGCAATGCCTAGTTCTTTCAACTGTTTTACAGTTTTGCACATCTTGGTATTGACGCTTTTGAAATGCAGTAATTCTCGCACACTGTCTCCCTGATCAAACTATAACTATAATGGGGAGCACCACCCGAAATTGCTGTAAATTTTTATGGGTTTTCTTTAATTAATTACAAGGCCTGTGTTTGTTTTCTTGATGAAATATGTGGCCAAGGACACGTCTTGCTAACCTCACTTTAAGCTTTAATTCAGGCACGAGATTTTGAGGATATAAAACGGCATTCCCTCTGACAAGCACGAGAGGGTTGCGTGTTAAGTCAAACAACAATGTAGCCAATATGGCTTATTATGCAGTCTGTAGCGAACCCACGTAGCCACTCCAGCAAATCCACTGCTGCGTTATTTTCAATATTGCCTAGTCTCAAGAATACAAATTGTACATTAGTGCCCCAACATAGGCCCCAGATTCGTATTGTTTACAGTGTTTATGACTTTATAACCAGGGCCAATGGTGTTGTTGAATCACACGACTTTATCAAACTGGGATTGTACGTTCTGCTTGATCCAAGTTTACATTCATTTGCTTGTCCCTTACATGAAAAATTTCATTAATATCGTCCATCTTAACTTCCGCAAGATAACTCATTCCTCATAGTCCTGTTTCGTTCATAAATCTAAGTTGAGCGTCAGCCCTTTAATTTCATTACCCGCGTTTATTTTGTGTGCAGTCATAACGGTAGAGATCTCGGGTCACATCAGAGATCCCTTGTTGATTGATCGGGAAGGAGACGAATGTCGATTGGGAACATTTCCCCTAGCGTGATTGGGGGAAGACGTAGAGCTAGCAATCTTCAATTGTCAGTCGTAATATTTGCAATCATGCTACGATTGTCTTTCTATAACTTCATTACATCGCTTTCAATCCCGATCTCAAGGACACTGCTAACATCACGTTAGAAGAGCCGTCAAGAAGGTTTTTTGTTTAATCAACTCCCCCCAAACTTTATTTTTAGAAGAAAATGGTTCAGTGTTATATTTACAAAAATTGCTGCGATAACGTTACATGAATAAATTCGGACGGTATCTGTATTGTTGTAAACCATTCAACCATGACTATTTCAACATCACAGTGCCTTTAAACATGCACATTTTTCTGCCTGATTTGAACCCCAATTTCTGTTTAAGGTAATTGTGTTTAATACATAGGTTTATTTTGTCTAATTTAATATTACCTGATACGAAATACTGCCTACAGATAGAGATAATTGAAAATAAGAATCGGCAGTGAACATTAATTGTATCATTAGATTATCCCAGTAGTTATGTCCCTTGTCATCATATAATTAACTTATATTTACTGCATAATGGCTCGCAATCGGACGATCTATGTTGTGTAGAGATTGCTACTTTGTTTAGTTTGTTTCCGGACTCTATTGTGTGTGATGGCTGTAATTGTTTTTGCGACAGTAAATTGGGTTGTGGAGCGGAAAGATGGCGCGTGTCTGAGTGAGGAGGGGACAGGTAGCATGGAGGTACACAAGACTCCAACCAGAAATATGAAAATAATAATACATGTGACAAGTGATGACTTTCGGGGCAATCAAGCCCACCTGCCTGCCTGCGTGTGATGTTCACTTGGGCCTGGATCTCACACAACATGTAATTAAGGCACTTTAGTTCCTGTCTCCGCTACACTGAGGTCTGTTATGATTCATATTGACCTCTCTCTTATACTCCCTGATGTCCCAGTGAAAATCAATACCCATCTATTGGTGTACACAGCATAAACGGTCAAGCTCCCAGCTCACGGCATAATTTCATGCAAATGGGATTTCCATAATTACTGGATCAGCCTGTTATCTGATTCCCGTGAGCGGGAGCGGTGTAGCGTAGCCAGTGCCAGCCTAGGATGAGAGAGCTGTGACAGGCCCAGCAGGGAGTGATACGCTCCTGTAACTCCCGTCTCTGACTGGCTCGCTCCTCAGGGCCAGCTGGCAAATCACAAACCTGGGCTTGATGAGACTGTCGGTGTACACACAGGAGTTGTCTACCTTGAGGCTGGCAAGGTGCTTGTACTGGGAGTATTTGTGTGAAGGTAAAGGTGTATGCATGCAACTTGAGCCCGGTGACTCGTTGGGAGTAGGAGCTGACTCCTCATGTGCTGTGGCTATTGGACTGCCTGAAGACATGTTTGAGGAACTTAAACTTTTTCCCTTTGGTAAGTTTTTCAGTCATCTATGTTAACCTTCATGTATTTTTAAAGGGATATTACTTTGGGTTTTTAAGTGATGGCTGACTCCACCTCTTACTTGCAGAGTTTATGTGGCACTGTTTGTTTATATTTAGGAATCATAGTTTCAAGTATTTTGTTTGTGTAACAAATGGTTTCGACAAAGTTGTCATTAAACACATGTTGAGATAATTCAGAAATCAACAGTTGATGACTAAACAGTTTTATTTTACCAAGTATTTTATTTTTTATTTGGCTTTATTTGCACTACTGATTCATCGTTAGTCACAATTTTTAGATTTTATTTTTACCTTGTGTGTTGTCCCCTGTTCAGCAACATGTGCGAGCGTCCTTGTTGACAGACATGATGTTTCTGTTACCTGATTAAGTCAAAAGGACAGGAAATACAAAGTTGACATCACTAATCGGTTTTTTTGGTTTCCTTGTATTTTCAAATAAACACCTAAAAATAGTTGATTCGGTCACCTGACAGGTATTATGGGTAACTGCTACCTTCTCCCTCAGTTTTGTGTCGTCTGCCATGGAAGAAGGTATGTCTTGTTTTCTTGCATTCACTGTAACAACAAATAGTTTATTGTGTAATTTCTCATCCTATAATATTCTTAAATTGTTTTATGGATCACCTAGTCTTTTTGAATACATATTTTGAAAATTGACAAAAATGCTTCCTGGAAATATCAAATTTGATTGCAAGGGTGGGGATGGTTTCTGCAGAAGTGTGAATTTGTGAAACTGACTGATCACCTGGGCATCACCTGGGCCAGTGCAGACAGTTGTTTGTCTGTGACCCCCTCCCAGATGGTTCCCATCACGCCCCACTGCACATATGGCATCCTAGCCCAGGCCTCCTCCCCAAGCACGCCCAGTCTAAGGGAGGTAATTCATTCAGCTTCATCCCATGATAGTCTACAACTGATAAGTTCGATTTTGTTTTTGGACTGATTACTTTTTGTGTTTCTGTAATTTATTTTGACATTTGTTATTTTGTCGGAAATAATTATGGTAGGTGTGAACGTTTTTCAAATATGGAGGGTGTTGCAGTTTTGTATGGTGAAAAAGTAATTGGCCATGTGTCTATGACTAATACTCGATGTGGCTTCAATCATATTCAGTGAATTTGGAATGACAATTCTCATCTATCATGACTAAAAATGGCTGGAGATGAGTGCTGATGAAATTAATAGTTGTTGACGAGGAGAGAAAATGCTTGTTGCCTAATGCGTATAAAACAGTGGTGAATCATGGGAAGCGTGGCACCTATGTAGTATATGACTGTATCAGCGGGATTGTGAATCACATGCTACGCGATGCTTAGTGGCATGGCGGATAGGAGGGACAGGAAATGCAAGGTGTGCTCTCATTGGCTGGCCTGACCTAGGATATCGCCACTTGGATCTTACCCTACAAAACTAATTGTTTTCATCTTAGACAATAGAGATATGAAGATTTATTTCCCTACCTTTTGTGCCTATATTTGGGAGGTGCCTGTGACAAGGCATCTTTAGATACTTTTTATCAGAAGAGTTCTATTTCCTGTTTTCTCATTCCTTATGTTTTAGCATAACGTCACAGTTTCGTTTCATCATCTTGTCAGGTCATTGTCAAGAATTGCGTATGCGGTATTAAGCAAATACTCATTTAACTTCAGATTACAACTTCTATAATCTGTGTTAAAATTAAGTGTCTAGATTTTACAGGTAAAATTAAAGGTCAGATATGCAAACTTTTAACTGAGAAATTTGATTCTGATTTAGCCAGAGCTTATTTATATTTTCAAGGTGAAACTGCACAGGTGAAAGTAATTATCAGATGGCTACAGGTGTGTCGCATTACAGGTGTGTTAATTTACAGGTGTGTTGCATTATAAGCTGGGGACCTGCCAAGTGAACCTTAGCCGTTGATAAGTAGTTAGTGTCAACATCCTTATTAGAACCATCTTACCGACACTTTGTCTGATTAAGAAGGAAACATTTCCTCGAAACACGATGCATTAAATGTGTTGTAGAATTATTGTATTTGAAATAGGATAACAACTGGAGATGGCTGGATTACTAGGTCTCCACACTTTGCCCCATCTGGGAGGTTTACATGAACAAGGAACTATAATTGCCTACAATGTATCGCCTTTTATACCGAGTTCCTCTTCACTCAGGAGAATCATAAAAATTGATTACTTCATAAAACTGACTGAAAAGGCTAGAGAGTGCCAACAGTCGCTGACTTGATAGAGTATTGTTTTTTGATTAAGAATATGAAAACTTATTGATTGAAATACCACTTGAAATTTTAACAATTAGCGTTGATTGCACAATTAAGATGTCATTGAGATGACCCCCCACAGCTTTACTGTGTTATGATTGGTAGTTGCTGTCTTGAACGGAAGGCGAGTTGTCGTAGTTCCCTGGTACACTGTATGCAAATTGATGCATGACTGACGCTGAATGAATTCCCAAGGTTGCTTTCATGATGGCTTGTTAAGATCGGACAGGTGAAAAGGGCTGTATTGTATGCAGGAAATGGGCCTTTGCTGAGACTCATTCATCAACCTTTCTGTCTCCTTGATACAAGATCTTTACCGTTTTAATTAAGCATTGAATTCTAGCATATCGACAAGAACATTTTGCCGCTATTTGGCCCTGAAGTAGGAGTATACGACACCGTAACGGCAGTGTAAAAGCAAATAATCTGAGTCTTTTACTAGAGACAGTGAACAACACAGGTATTGACGCATGAAAGAACGATAATGATTGGCCCTTACAAATTTGACAGGCGTCTGTCATTGTGTGATAGAAAACTACAGATTATAGTGTTTTGTGTCAATCACTTGAATAGTTGATGATTACTTTGTGCAAGCGCCTTATCTACAGAGTCAGAAGGCCGAGATTTTCGGATGTGAGTGTTTATGCACACTGTTAGCACAGTTTCCAATTTGTCAGATCATTGAATAGTCTACATTTGTGGAGGGTACTTCTCTTCTCTAGTTTGTGCTCATTAGAAATTTTCAACAGAATGGCTACAATTACAAGCAAGTTAATTATTCCTCTTACAATAGAGTCACTTCCTACAGTGGAGCGACGTCCTATAACAAGGAGGCGTAATTAATATTTTAATCGAACATTTTTCAAAACAGTTGAGTGCACCTACTCCACGTCAAGAGGGTTATGTAGTATTTTTCCAGGTGTTCTCTGACAGATAAATCATAGCAGGTCCAATTATTATTTATCCAGAAATTCGAATGAGCTTCTGAGAGGGAGCCTCCAAATATATGAGATGGCAGTTTGCACTTCAAATTTGATCCTTTTGTGCGCTGCAGAGATTTGTTCAAACATCACTTCTAGCTTAGGTCCTTCTACTTTTGTTCTCTGTGTGTTCCCATCTTGGCTCAACCATGTTACTTTACTCTGCCTCAGGCTTGTAACTCTCATCAAGTGTTGTCAGTAGTTGTTGGGAAATAGTTTTGTTCATTTCTTTGCCCTTGCTGTGAATCATTTCATCCTGTATTTATGAACAGATTATAAGGACCTTTTAACTGACAGCCAATGAATATGAGACCTATTCAGCTGGTGGTAGAATGTGGGTACTATTTCCCTTCCACTGTTTAAATATTTCCTTGTGAATAATACACGAACATTAAAAGGAAATTTTTAAGGTGTTGATGATGATGGTTTCAGCATCATGATGTCACTCTTTTGGGTGATAGAATTTCGTCGTCAAGTTATGTGAAGGTCGCAATGATCTCCTTGCAGCTGTGAAGGATGACATGTTCTTGGAAGTCAAATAGACATTTCTGATGCAAGTCTAACATTCCATACTCTGATTTTGCCCATTGGAAGGAGGAAAGTGACAACACATGTTTGTACAGTGTGGAGTTTAATTGGAATGCACTCTGTTATCAGAAGATAACATTTTATGAGCTTGGGGGACTCTGCAGCTGCAAGCAATTGGCAGTTTACGGTTTATCCCATGTTCAATAATGTTATGGTGCCTACAGAGACTTTTTTTTTAAAAATTAAGAGAACGTTAAAAATTAACTGTAGATAACATGAAGTGTACAGGTTTTTATGATTTATCATCCATAAGTTAAGTTCACATGGATGTCAGTCAGTGTACGGTTGATGAAGAGGCTGCTGACTTATGAAATTCTGACTTTTGATCAATGTATTAGTTATTGATTCGCAAGAGCTAATTTCCCGTGCCGAATATCACCAACTAGCCTGCTATTCTGGTAATCAATACTGCTGATTTATCCAAGGAATGGCCGAGTTTTTTCTCCAGTCATGCAAGTCTGATGATCTGTTGGAGCATGTAATCTAGGATTTGTTTACATCAGTTGCTCATCCGTTATCTCAGTATTAATCACAGAGGCAAATCAGGAGACTGTTCTTCCAGGCTTGGCCATAGAATATTGGATTTCTTCAGATGGGTAAATTAACCATCGCTTACTTACTGACAAATTTTGTGGGATTTGGGATGCGCTTTTACCAACGATTGATCAGAGCACATATATAATCAGCCAAGTAGAAAACGCTTGACTGTTTGATGGATGTCAAGAAATCAGTGAGTGGCCATCAGCTAATTTCCTCTCTTATTTGCAGTGGAAAATGAAGATCATATCGATGACTCTCTCGCTACGGCAGTGGAGGAAAAGATGGACACCCCCTCCACGGGAGTAGCAAATGGTAACCATGACAACCCAGTCAAGGAGAGCCAGTGCGAGGTGACAGGTGTGGCGAGTGAGACATCGCCAGAACCAGTGACTCGACAGGAGGAGGCTGCAGACAAAACTCACCCCACACAGAATGGTAGGCCCAAACACAATGTTCACAATAACTCAACCACAGTGCACACTTCATGCAATATCAACAATTCTGATCCGACATTTTGGTGAACTTTTATCACAATGACACACTGTATTACAGTTTGGTGTTATGATTTAACAATGGGGTGAAATCATTTTATAACTTGTTCCATCTGTAAGTAAAAACAATTAAAGCCTTTGATTCTGTTTGGAAATTTAAGATGGACTTGTGCAAATATGTAACTTGTTGAGTCTATAGGTGAAACAAATACAGATTTTGTCTAAGATATCTGTGAATCGATCTTAAGTTTTGATATTGTTTGAAGGAACAACTGAAGAAGCTGAAGAAAAACTTGATATCAGCGACAAAAAGACAGTGGCGCCCCCAACCAACAATTCAACATCAAATGAGGCGGACACAATCAAAGAGTTCCTGGGTCGCAGTGACACAGTTGTCATATTCCCCGAACCAGTCAGCGATCTGGAGGAGGAACACGCAACAAGCATTGGTATGATTTCCTGCTTGATCTTCTTCAGATTTATCTTAATCTTTTTATGTTTGGTTGATTAATGACTTAATATTTCCGATTGTTTATTGGTATTTTGTTAATTAACAGTTTTGTTCATGTTATTTGTTAATGTTTCAGATGCTGTGAATCCAGTGGAAGAAGAATACACTCTGAAGTGTGTCCACTGCAGCGAGAACTACCAGCGTGTCACCCTGCTTCGTGAACACATGAAGACACAGCACCCTGACAAGGAGATCAAGTATCAGTGTCCCAAGTGTGATGAGGTCTACCTGCTCAAAACACAGCTCGACAAACATATCGCACTCCACTCACCAACATCCCAGAACTGCAAGGTCTGCAACAAGACATTCGCAAATGTTTACCGTCTCCAGCGTCACATGATCAGTCATGACGAGAGCACCGACCTCCGCAAGTTCAAATGTCCAGAATGTGGCAAGGCCTTCAAGTTCAAGCACCATCTCAAGGAACACATTCGTATCCACAGTGGAGAAAAACCCTTTGAATGCCCAAACTGTGGCAAACGCTTCAGTCATTCCGGATCCTACAGCAGTCACATGACATCTAAGAAATGCTGGGTGATGAACATGAAGGGAAGACGCGTAGATCGCAACGGCAACAATGAGGGTGTCATGTACTACCGCAGCCCAGGACAGTCGTTCAATGACTCCCTCCAGTCCCCTCCTCCTGGAAGCTACCCACAGCAGTTCCTCAAGTACGATCCACGTAATGCAGGACTCCCCACCTACTTTCCTCCAAACCTTACCAGCACTCCTGTGCGTCCTCTGGGTATGGTTGCCTACAGTCTCTACCCAGACGGCAAGCCTTCAGGCCATGTTTTACCTCCTCCCAAGCTCAGCCCTCCGACCATTGAGTGCCCAAAGCCCCCACCATGCAGCACTTCTCCTGTGTCCAGGGCTCCTCAGATCTCACCTGATGTCAACTCCAATACCCAGCTGCTCAATCTGGCTGCTTCCGAGAAGAAGGTTGAGGGACCAGACACAATTAAAGTGAAACAAGAGCCAGATGAGGCCAATAAAGGATCTCGAGCAAATTCACCCCATGAATCTGCCAAGTGTGAGACTAGTGGAGAGTTTGAACACAAGACTAACAGCATTGGGGAGATGATGTGTCGGTTTTGCAGCAATGGTTTCAAGAGTCCAGTTGAACTGCACCAACATGAGAGGTACCTATGCAAGCTGAACAAAGATATTGTCCTACGAATGGCTAACCTAGAAAACTCTCGCAGCTCTCCAAACAGTACTGTGTCCGATGCAAGTCGCCATCCCACGCCAAACGGGAGCGTTGGTGATGCAGGGACGGACGAGGAGGACACTGAGGAGGGGAAGGAGGAAGCTACCCAGGGAGACAAGAAATACAGGATGAGGTCGCTCATCAGTGATCAGCAGCTTCAGTTTCTTCGCGCACATTACCAAATAAATCCTCGACCAGGCAAACAGGAACTCATCAAGATTGCAAATGAAATTGGTTTCTCCAAGCGAGTTGTTCAAGTCTGGTTCCAGAACATGCGAGCTCGTGACAGAAGAAAGGGTAAAGATGTACCCTACTTCCCCAACATGGCTCGCTTCAAGGCTGCTGAAGAACTCCCTGTAACCACAACAGCCTCTTCTTACATACCAGTTGTTCCACAGCCGTTTGCAAGTGCCCTTTCAGCCAGTCAGTCCTCAACACCCTCCCCGAAACTCAATGGGCAGCTGACTTCGCATTCCCTCCCACAGACTCTCGTCAAACCTCAGACATCTATCGCCAACCAGGACCAGCCTCTTGACCTCACCGTCAAGCGTCAGCCTCCCAAAGCTCACTGCAACTCAACTCCTTCCCCAACACCTTCATACGGTGAGGACCAAGCTCTCAACCTCAGCTGCAAGTCTACCACTAAAGAAGAACCTTCCAAAGACAGTAAACCACCCACATCATCGCCCCCATCATCAACCCGACTTGAAGGGAGTTTCCACCAGTCTGCTATCTTCAAGTACATGCAACAAGAAGGTCTCTTCCGGAGCAGTCTGTTAACCGAGATTCCGAAGACAACCAGCTCAGTAATACCAACCTTGTCTGGCTGGTCTGTACCAACCATTCCGTCGAAGTCGTCTTCCCCAACTGCATCTCGTCCTTCCCCAGCATCAAGGGAAATCAGCGAGGGAGAACTGAGGAAGAGCCCATTGCAAGACGACCAGGAGAGCTGTAGTTCAGATACCTCTTCAGACAGTTCCGACAGTCAGGAAGAGTCAGACTTAGCTGACAATGGCCGACTTGTGATAGACGAAGCGGATGAGAGAGGACTTGACAGGAGTTGTCTTCAAGCTAAGAATGATGCACTGTTCCACCACAACTTGAGAACCCTCGCAGATGTGTCTTTGGCCGAAGGGAAGGCGAGCTGACTGTTGCAGATCACCTTGGAAAATCCAAAAGACTGAGGAAAAAATCCTGGAGACAGGTGAGCCTTTTCAAGGTATATGCTACATTAACTTATTTTGAGGAATTTGATTTTCAGTTAATTATGCAATTATCTGTTGAAACCGTGATAATAGGTCCTCAAAATCTCTTCTAAGAATTAGCATTATGATGTAGCAACTTTGCAAATTTACAAATTTGCATGATTTTACGAAAACAGAAACTGATTAAATATATTCAACATGAATCTGTTATGAATAGTTTTATAGAATGAAATCATCAATATTTTCCTAAATGGTCCTTGCAACTGTGAGTACGGGCATGCTTGATGGGTGTCGTGTACAACACTTACCTCTGATTGGTCATGTCATTCACGCTAACATCAGTGCTAGTTTTTCAAGTGATTGCTGAAGTTTTGTGACCGACTGTTCATCATAACCCATCACTTAATACAGCATAATTTGTGTCATCGTTTCACGGCAGTTTTAGCTCAGCAGTTTGAGTGCGGTGTATATTGTGCAGTGTTTGCCATGTTCATGTGCTACATCAAACATCTAATAGCTTAACTGTTTAGCCACATTGTGCATTGCTAGATGTTTGTTTTGTTGATGAAGTTTGTTATTGAAACTGTTCTTGATATAAACAGGGTGACAAGCATATATAACTGAAACTTAATTTTTCTTTTGAAAATAACTGATTGAGAATGCATCATATTTTAAAGATATTTGCAAATATACAATTTTGATTTAAAAAACTGTCACCCTGTTAAGCTGGCACAAATGTTGATTTAAAAAATATCTATAATTCCTCACCGGCATTTCAATTGGTCTTCTTGCCCATCTCTACATTTTCATTACATTGCAAAAGCAATATTGATTAAGATGTACTTATTAGAACAGCTGATATCCAGTATTTGAAATTTAATGTCTTCCGTGTTACCAAATTAATGAGAATCACTGCATGTTCTTGTGACAAAAATGAGTATCTTGTTTGGTGTAATTTGTGCCAGTTTCCTGTCTTGTTTGTTTGACTGTGTTTGACTTCCCATGTTGTGTTTATTGCTGTGTGCTGCTCCCTTAACACTCTGTTTCTGTTTTCCAACATGTGCAAGCAGCCATGTTTCTTATGGCAGGTGGAAGCAGAAGAAGCTAACCTTGACCTTGATGATTCTCTTAACGGCGATGACGAACCGCTGCGTAAGAAACGCAAGTCGTGGAAGAACCACAAGATGGATGTTGACATCGGGATGTATGCCTGTGACCAGTGTGACAAGATGTTCAGCAAGCAGAGCTCTCTCGCCAGACACAAATACGAACACTCAGGTAAATACCCCAGTAATATATCAAATTGTAATGAAATGGGTAAAGAGTGTTAAGATCTTGGACATACCTTGACATGCTCAGTACTTTAAATTTAGCCTTGAAAAGAGTACTATAGATACATTACGAAAAAGAAAAATCGGGGGAAATTTTTTTTACGAACATCTTTTTTTTTCCGAGCAACTCCAATCATACGTGATCCTTCATTTCACTTTACCCTTAGGCATTCATGTAAATTTTTCTGAAAATATTTTGTGTACTGGGGAAAATGATAAACTCGAAACATTTGCTGATGCAACTGTAAGATGAATGCTTTTCATGATTTCATGCTAAATCCGTTTCTCACAATGCCAACAGGTGCCCGTCCCTTCTGCTGTGAGGTATGTGGCAAGGCGTTCAAGCACAAGCATCACCTGACGGAACACAAGCGTCTCCACAGTGGAGAGAAACCGTTTCAGTGCAAGAAATGTGGCAAGCGTTTCAGTCATTCGGGCTCATTCAGCCAACATATGAATCACCGATACAAGTACTGCAAGCCCAACGATGGGGAGGAGGACTAGGGGAGACAACTCAGCAGAGCCAGTCTTCATGCAACTCTCTGCTGAAGCTAAGTTTCAAGTGTTCTTGCTGCCAAATATGCGAGATGGCAACTATTAGGCAATATGGCAGAATCTGAAAGGGAGGTAACCCCAACAAGGGAAAGAGCATTTGCAAACTGTCCATTCCATGATTCATTAAGCCATAGATGATAGTTGCTAGTTTTCATCTATTTTGTCAAAAGAATATTGGCAGAGAATATTTGCAATTATTTTTTACAAGGGGAGGTAACTGCGTAATGGCATAATCAGGGGAGGCAACTATGAAACTGCTGCAGTGGATTGAGAGCATTATAGCAATGTCAGTGATATGCAATCGGTCATTTCTTTTGTTGTTACAGTATTACAGTTTCATGTATTGTTTGGTATTTAACCAAACGTCTATGAAGTGCTCATTGATGTTACAGAAAGTAATCATGATGTACCTGTTATTCTACAAGCCACGATCAAGTGCTTTACATGCAACCAATACTTAATTCCATATGGGACCAGATTTCTTACACGTTTTTTTTTTTTCATCCAATGTGGTTTTGATATTGTGGTGTGTTTTATGTGTTAGTCGTAACCGTGTCGGAATCTCAAGTGAAATAGCTTGTGGCCTCTCTAGGACATTAGGACCGTACATGACCAGGGATAACATTTGTTGGTGCCTAGTTTTCTAAGACATCTTACTGTTGGATCTGAATCACTGTGTTATGAATGTTCTATGTGACACTTATTACTTAACGGACATACACCACTTGATGAACGTTTTTTCCTGATGTCCTAGAGAAATAGTGCCACTTCAGCGCGACTACTTACCAATGTATTCAGTATTTTAAAGGTTGCTTTGACGTGAGTTTCGTCATCAACTCTTGTCAACAGCCTTACCTAAGCTTCCCATTTCTCACAAAGCCAATTTGCCATATTTTAAAGCCAGCTATTGCTGACAGAGATTTATTTCTATTTAAGAGATTAGAAAAGATGTTATTTATGGGTTAGAGGTGTATCTTACAGAGCTTCCATGACTTCCTAGTTAGGATGACCGATCAGAAATGTTTGTGCCAATTGTGTATAGTCTTGCCAGTGCCAACTGTTTTCACTATGTATGCGTCACAAGATGTTTGGTGCCAAATTGTCCTTAGTCGTAAAAGTTATTAATAATCTGCGCTATGGTCAAGGGGAGATAATTGAAAATATTTATTTACATGTAGGCTTTTTGTTATTTATTAGATATTTGTTGGTAGTTTAGGGATCTAATGTCCTTTGTTTTAGAAGTTATGTAGGTTTATTGTCAAGATATTAAATTTATTTGCATAATACTATGAAGTTGACCGAATAGTCATAATAGTTTAAGTGCTGGTTAGATAGCAATGATTAGAGTGATCTGCTTGACCATGGTGCAACGGTGTAAGTGGTGTTATCACATGTGCAGGGTAACACCTGAAACGATGTCTTTACCGGACAGTATTATTCCGAAGCTTGGCCAACAAAAGGTGTCGATTCGACACCAGGTGCCAACCTTCTATTGTCTTCCAAATAAATGTATGAGTGTGCTTGTTCACCTGACATGAGTGAGAGAGAGAAAATGAATAAATGAATGAATGAATGAATGAATGAATGTGTTTATGTTACAGGAGTACCAGTATGAGAACTATGTGTTAAAACATCTACACAATTTTGCATAAGTTTTACAAAATTTAGTTTCAATAAGAAATAACCTTTTACACTTAAGCTACATTTTCAATTTTTTGTAAAAATTTTGTAAATTCACATTTTGAGCATTTAATTAAACTGGTCTCACATTTGTTTTAAGAAAGAGTGTTCATGAATGAGGCAGTCAGTGCCTGAATGAATGTAAATTGAATGCCTTGTTCATTGTATTTGTTGTAAATAAACAATGCTGCATAAATAACATGTATAAAAAATCAAAAAGATGTTAGTTCTATCATAGTATAATGATTAATGTATCAAAGTATTTATAGCAATTTAGTTCAGCAAGGGCCACATTGTACTTAACGCCTGTGGAGAAATACTTAAAAGTCAAAGTGTGCAATAGGTCGTAAATTTCGGCTGCCATAGAGAAGTATTATTTCTTTTAAACAGGGTTATGTTTTAGAAGTAGTCTTGTTTATCTTATGTGTTATCCATGTGCCAAAATATGCAATACTCTACCGTGCTATCAGTTACGTTACAAATATTTTGTTTCTAAGTGCAATATTGGAGGGCTATGTCTCAGTCATCTGACAGATAGTATATGTATTATATACTGCCAGACATATATAATGCATAATAATGAAGATAGTTTTCTTTCTATATATCTACACAAATATCCATTCTCAGTATTAATGATGTCTTCCTAATATTTATGGAAAGTTTGCAATCATTGTATTAACTGATGTCAGTGCTAATATGTGCCAACAGTATTAATCTTATTTGATCTTCCAAATACCAATTTTAATTCAGTGCCAGATTTTGGTCTTCCACTTCGCAAGAATCTGCCAAACTAGGGCTCATCGTGAATACCAGTATTGTACGTGTTGTGCTATGTATCGTGTCAATGTGACTGTTTCTTTGAATATTTTAGGCTAAAAAAAGCTGTTTGGTTAAGAATCTACAAATTGACAAGATTTCAAAACGTCAAACTTAGATGTATTGGGTAAATGTTTTTTAAAAATCAATATTTCTAAAATTAAAAAAAAAGGTAGATAAGTCATCAAAATCTGAAAAAAGGAAATTTGAATCAATTTTGTTTATTAATTAGAAAGTTTAAATAACAACCCATCGTATGAAAACAGATAATGGTCATGTGTATTGTAACTGCTTATGATGAAAGTGAGGTGATAGAGGTAATAATCAGTATATCCATATGTATAAATTTTAAAAATGTATTGCAATAATGACAGTTACAAAAAGTCAATATATGATGTGAAATGGTTGGTAATACAGTTTGAGAATTGATGTTTTGTTGAGATGAGGATCTAGTCATCAGCTTAATGAGCCAGATTGTATCACAGGATGCCAAATTTTTGTACAAAGAGAGTAGAATTAGTCTGTATGTGTGGGTGTAGTTGTTCCCCTTGGTGCCGTAGTAGGGGCAGGGACGCCGTATAATACTCATCCCATTAGATAGTGTTATTCCACCTTTTCTGATCGGTCATCTACTATAGACAAGAACACCTTGTATGTACAATCCTAGTAAGCACAAGAACAGAATGATTGATTTTCCAACCTTTGGTAATTTCCCTATAAAATAACTTCTTTCAAAGAATACAAATTCGGGAAACATTTCGTTCATTCTGTTTGCAGCCATTGGATTGTTCTCTTTTATTGCAGTATATTTTCTAGATTTCTAGATGCTAGATACCCTTGAGATATCCATGAGATATAAGCGATATTCAACTCGTCTACAGTATGGAATCCTATATCTTCCAGATTTCAGCCGGAGGTTGAAACTATGTACCAAAAATACTCATATTGTTGTTATGTTGATACTTTGTGTTTAAGTTGTGTTATTGTGTTGTTTATAGTTTAGGCCACCGCCTAATATTATTTGTGTTAGTGTTTCTGTACATATATCAGTGTGTGTCTGTCCTGGTAGTGTCTGTTGCTATGGGGCTATTGAGCCTGGTAGTGTCTGTTGCTATGGGGCTACTGTACTGTTACATAATGTGCCTAGCTTCTCTAGTCAATAGTCTGAAAGCGAATGGCAACTTCAGATATGTAAAATTCATGTAGCATTATATTGAAGGAAGGAAAAAATTTGTATTCATGATATTTCATTATGTTCAGTATTACAATAATCATGAACAAGGGAAATTACAAAACTAGGATTTGGCGAACGATGAAAAGGTTTCCGCCCTGTACAATGCCATCATATCTCAGCTTTGACGTGATGTGTCGTTCCGTGTTATACTATAGCAAACATTTTGAACCTTTTTGGTTCCGTCTCGTGTCAGTCAGTGAAGTATAAAGTCACTCGTTACAAATAACACCATTTTGATGTTTGCTACTCCTTGTTGAAGAGTTAAATCTTCATGTGATATACTTTTTCTTGTCACGTGTGGAGTGTTGGGATGTGTGTGCATTCCGACCAGTATTGTCAGGTTTTTGTCTGACAGGGAGTCCGTAGAACCATGTCCAGTTTCTGTGTCGGGGCTGCTCATAACACGCTGGACAGACAACTACTTGGGGTGTAACTATTACAACATAGTGGCTGGCATCCGGGTCACTTTATCAGAAGGATGATGTCATGCGACATATATATAGCAATACTAAAGACAGACGAGGATGTGTGTAAGAAATTATGATATCTAAAACAAAATTTAACAGATTTAGTTTAAAAATTTCAACAACAAAAATAAAGCAACCAGTTCATTTGGGCAAATAGAAAACATTAAGATCACGAGATGAAATGTAAATTTTTTGAAAATTTGCTATATATCGTACCACACATCTTTTATTGCAGTATATATCGCATCGCACCTTTTATCACACTGACGTTACACCATTCATCACAAACCTGCTCCACAGATGTAACCTTCCTCAACACTCTCAACTATTGAACCATAGAAAAAACAAAATGGGAGTCTTTCTAGTTGATAAAAGTAGCTAGGTAATCAAAATACATTTTTCCCTTCGGTTTCAGTACTACTTTGTTTGATCATCATTGATGTTATGGGCAAACTTTTAAGAAACCTGTTTTTTTAATTCGTTCCAATTTGTTCGGGCCAATTTGTTATGAGCTGTTTTTACCCCTGTAGAATGTGATGATCTTGTGTTTTGTGTCCTGTACAGTAATGTGTATAGATCTTCATGTTTGTGTGTAAATTGTGCATTATTTTACACTAGGTATTCAAATCCAATTTCTTCATATCTTTTTATGTAAATTATATATCATTTAATGCTAGGTCATGAAACCAGGCAGCCAAGAGTTGTACATTTTTGTCTTAAATCAAACTATTGTTTCATGCTGTTATATATTAGCATGCTTGCTATTCCATTTTAAACATTTTGAACTGTGACATTTTATGTTGAAACACAGAGCAAGATGCTTCATTATTACCTACGAGGGCGAACATATCGGGGGTTCATATTTTTCATACGATGCCCTAGGGCAAAATATCACTTTGTCATGGTGACGTGACGTCATGAACAATGCTATGACGCCACGTTTCTTCTGTGACGTTGCGTTCTACATGCGGCGACAGCAGGTAGACAGCCTATGTTTGAAAGTAGATTTGGGTTATTTTCCTCAATTTGACGACTTTGGTAATAAACAGAATATTATATTCGTGCCCATATCATACTATGTTTACTTAACTCATGCCTAAATATCGGTATAACCCTCGCTCTCGCTCGGGAAATACCAACATTTAGGCACTCGTGTTGTAAACATAGTATGACATGGGCACTCATATAATATCCTCTATTTATTACAAAGCAAACAATTTGACTTCATGAAAAATGCATTTTTGTACACGAATGTCTGAGAACAATGCCACTGATATTTTTTTTAAGGATCATGATTCAGATCAGAATGGTAAAACGGTAAATTTGAAAATGAAGCATTTTGTTCTGTGAGTGCTCCAGCTTGTAACTCTGGTTGTCTTGGAGACAAATGTTTGTCTGAGAGCCCAGGAGGTTGGAGCACTGCCATGCTCACATACTGTATATTTTAGTTGCTGATGAACTAGATTGAAATGTACATATATGCCAGGTGTTGCAGTCCTAGTCTTGTCTTTTTCCTGTCTCGGCATCCTAGAAGTCTACCTGTGCAATAACCATTTGTGAACGGAAACATAAGAACTACATCTGATGAAATAAAATTTCATTCCAATTTATTAAAACTAATGTCTTTGTTTGTTTGAAACTTTTTGATTATGTTTTCATAGATTGTCATGTTTTTATTGTTTTAAAAAATGAACTTATTACTGAAGGTATGGTTTTGAAAAATGAACTTCTTACTGAAGGTACGATTTTAAAAAAAATGAACTTATTATTGGAGGTAATAATGTGTTAAAATGTTTAAGATAAGAAAACATAATATGACAACATGATGCAGTCCAGCAATTATCAGTTCAGTTAAGTAAATGATTTTTTTATATATCTTCATTTGTCAAGCAGGATAATTATATTTATTTGTGACAATATTAGTCTTAAGGTAAATACTATTCTCAGTATATCCATGATGATGAGCCTATCTAGTCACTGAGTCTCATTTATGATGTTATTTCATGCTGTAAATATGATTCCATTTTTCATTGCATTTTCAAATCCATAATCAGTCTCATCATAGTTGACGTAAACATCGCTGTTATTCATCTCATTTATCTCTGCTCATTTCTCATGTTACCTGTTACAAAACGTTTCCAAAATCTTGAGTGGATAGGTTGTCTCCCCTTAATTGGTAATCTCCAAAAGAACTCTGATCTAAAAAACACAACTTGGGTATATTAAATTCCAGATTTAACTGATTATTGAAAATGAAGAAAGGGTTAATTTTCAGAAAATAATTTTTACAGCTCTTCGATTTTATCAGATGGCATAAAGATTCATGAAGTTCATTAGTGGAGACCGTTAAAGGGAGACTACCTGTCTAATGTCTTGAGGGACATTCCATGTTTTATCTTGAAAATTATGATTTGAAATAGAAAAAGTCCCTATTTTTGAAGGAAATTGTTAAGTTGATTTAAAGTCAGTAAATACATATTGATGTGTGTAGAATTGTATTGTTCCCAGTATCTAGCCTCAAACTTCAAATTGTTAGTCCCGTCTTCATAGACAAATCTTAACAGTTTTAAGTTGTTGAGATCTATCCTAGTCCTCAGTGGCACAATGACTAATCCCAAATTATTTGTCATAATTATGTGACTTTAGAAGAGAGATGAAGCTCTCTGATAATCCTAGTCATTAAGATACAGACCTGAGCGCAATATGTCACCATGATGTATAGGGTACAAGTTACCATTGCAATATGTATATGATATATGTGGATCCGTATATATGGTGAATATGTTATGAATATTCTTTCACCATGATATAAATGGTAAGCATATATAGAAGCCATGTTATATATGGTATATGCACATATATAGAAGCCATGTTATATATGGTATATACACATATATAGAAGTCATGTTATATATGGTATATACACATATAGAAGCCATGTTATATATGGTATATACACATATATAGAAACCATGTTATATATGGTATATACACATATGTAGAAGCCATGTTATATATGGTATATACACATTGCCATTGTATATATGGTGCATATACATATATTACCAGGGAGAAGTTAAGAACACCCAATTCCTTTCATGCCATGACTGGCTGAAGTAATATGAAATCTGATGTTGTTTAACTCATTTTGAGTAGTATGAACATGTATTGTCATCAGTGTATTTAAAACACACACACACACACACACACACACACACACACACACACACACACACACACACACACACACACACACACACACACACACACACACACACACCCCCTTGTTGCCGTGGTGTACATGTAAGTATATACATTGGCACCATGGTGTTTACAAATACGTACTATTGTCACCATGGTTTATATGGTATACATACATGTATATACACTGTCGCCATGGTGTATGTGATATGTATATGGTATACATACATGTATATTCTCTGTTGCCATGGTTCATGGGGTGTGTATATGGTATACATACATGAATATACACTGTCGCAAGCGTGTGATATGTACGTGTATATACACTGTCGCCATGGAGTATGGGGTGTTTATATGGTATACATATATGTATATACACTGTCGCCATGGTGTATGGGGTGTATATATGGTATACATACATGTATATACACTGTCACCATGGTGTATGAGGTGTGTATATGGTATACATACATGCATATACACTGTCGCCATGGAGTATGAGGTGTTTATATGGTATACATACATGTATATACACTGTCACCATGGTGTATGAGGTGTGTATATGGTATACATACATGCAGATACACTGTCACCATGGTGTATGAGGTGTTTATATGGTATATACACTGTCACCATGGTGTATGAGGTGTGTATATGGTATACATACATGCAGATACACTGTCACCATGGTGTATGAGGTGTTTATATGGTATACATACATGTATATACACTGTCGACATGGAGTATGGGATGTTTATATGGTATACATACATGTATATACACTGTCACCATGGTGTATGAGGTGTGTATATGGTAAACGTACATGCATATACACTGTCGCCATGGAGTATGAGGTGTTTATATGGTATATACACTGTCACCATGGTGTATGAGGTGTGTATATGGTATACATACATGCAGATACACTGTCACCATGGTGTATGAGGTGTTTATATGGTATACATACATGTATATACACTGTCACCATGGTGTATGAGGTGTTTATATGGTATACATACATGTATATACACTGTCGCCATGGAGTATGGGGTGTGTATATGGTATACATACATGTATATACACTGTCACCATGGTGTATGAGGTGTTTATATGGTATACATACATGCATATACACTGTCGCCATGGAGTATGGGGTGTGTATATGGTATACATACATGTATATACACTGTCGCCATGGTGCATGGGGTGTGTATATGGTATACATACATGTATATACACTGTCGCAATGGTGTGATGTATATGGTATCCATATATGTATATATATACACACTGTCGCCATGGCGTATGTGTTTATATGGTATCCATATATGTATATACACTGTCGCCATGGTGTATGTGTTTATATGGTATCCATATATGTATATACACTGTCGCCATGGCGTATGTGTTTATATGGTATCCATATATGTATATACACTGTCGCCATGGGGTATGTGTTTATATGGTATCCATATATGTATATACACTGTCGCCATGGTGTATGTGTTTATATGGTATCCATATATGTATATACACTGAAGCCATGGTGTATGTGTTTATATGGTATACATATATGTATATACACTGTCACCATGGTGTATGTGTTTATATGGTATACATATATGTATATACACTGTCGCCACGGTGTATGTGATATGTATATGGTATACATATATGTATATACAGTCAGGATGGTGTACATATGGTTTACATATTGGTATATATACCATTGCCATGGTGTATTATATGGTATACATGTACATACATGTGTATACACCATCACCATGGTGTATGTGGTGTGTGTATGTTATACACACTGGAATATATCCCATTTCCATGGTGTATTATATGGTATACATACATGTGTATACACCATCACCATGGTGTATGTGGTGTGTGTATGTTATACACACT